AAATGATCACTTTTTCCTCTGTTGCATACCTGTGTTAGAAGTTTCAAATGTCAATCTGTGGGTAACAGCTTACTAACACGGTGATTCTCAGCATGTTGGGAACCGCGCTGCGTGACATTTAAAACATTTTGGAAAACGGGCGGATTAACTGTTTTCCCGAGTAAACAACTTTGACAGCATGGCATGGACATCCCATCTGCCTATTTTATTCAAACGGGGACTTGAAAACGTGATCACCACTGTTTTTACCTGAGAAGACAAGCGAATTCATGTTTTGTATGTTGTTGGCGATTTGGTAAATTCATCACATGGTCCGCCACTGGTGCCGTGACTGTTCATCACAGGAGTGACAGATACTAAAAATAACTCAGCATCCTTCGGAGATGGTGATTTTGGCGTTTCTTCTGTGGCTGTCGTGTGTGATATACTACGTTGTCTCGATATAAGGAGCGGCACCGTTATCTCCTTGAGAAAAATGACAGATGCAAATATTTCAATCTCAGAAATGAAGCATATTAAAGCTTTTTGTTATAAACCGTTGCCATGCAGAACCAATATACGCAAATATGGGTAATATTTTCCAATCACTCAGAATGCAGGGCAACGTCGTAAAGCTTAACCAACATTAAGCAAACCTGGTCTGACTAGCTGTCAAAGAGACGAGTGTTTCGGTACTTTTCCGCTGGGACTGTGGAATACCCCAACACACTGACAGTGTGTGAACCGTGGTTGAGCTTGTGGACAATTCAGAAAATGCAGATCAAGACCAAATTCATTTTATACAATGATGGTGTATCTTTCATGCTGTAATTGATGGATTTCACCAGAATTATCTACCAGTTAAATTTCCTATTTTCGCTGAAAATGATGTAAAAAATGTTTGGTCTGAATAACAGGTGAGTAAATGATGGTGAAGTTTTCCACTGAGAAGAAACCAGAGTACTATACCAAAAAGATGCATGTATTGTTAGGTGATTGGTGAAGAATAAATCTTGGAAATAACCAACATGACAAGTATCACCACAACACTAAGCCTACCAGTCTGGTCATTTATCAAATATGTATATTCATCTTGTTTATTCGTGTACTGAATCCCCATCCAACAACTAGGTTGTAGAACCATGAAGGCACCATAAGCAAATATGACGGAAGATCTCCATGGGACTAAGTGAAATTAAGTGAACTTGTGAAGTGAGCTTCCTTTCACGCCTTTCATGAAGCTGCTGGAATAGAAGATTACTAGTGTTCTCAAATAATAACTAAGAGATTATTCCAGCTTTATTCTGGACCTAAAAAGATATCAACGACGTACAGAAACTATACCATTTACGGTAAAACTTCAAATTACACAGAGATAATATTTGAGATTTTGGGATTATATTGCTACGGGTGAATTCCAGTGTCAATATTAGTATTCTCTGGATTACCTTATGTCAGTTTTTTTCAGCATTTGGACAGCTGGAGCTAAATGTCAGGTCTTAGTTTACAAGAATATTTGCTATGATTAAAACTGATAATTTCGAACAAACATAATGTTTTGCCTGTATAGTTTGTAGCAAACGTGAGTAGAATCAGATAGTAGGCTGAAGATGAACACCAAAGTCCGGATAGTAAAACCACGAGGCGTTACGGGTTTCCTTGAATTTTAGTCAGAATTTGTGGTAGTTATCAAACCATGATCACAGAGATTTACAAGTGATAATTATCAAATACTTCGTGAATACCGACAAGGTTAGAAAAGAGAAGGTGACTATTCACAAGCTGGCAGACTTGTCACACAGGTGATACTTGAGGTAACGTCCACGTATGTTGCACACATAAGCACGGTTTACAGCTGTGGGTTTTTGGATCTTGCTATAATCCCCTGATTTGCTCAGGTCAGGGTGAAAATCGGCATGAATTGCCATTTCGCGACGGATTAACCTCAGATGTCATGGTGACTTCGTCACGGAAGTCCTTTCCTGTTAGCGAGAACTCCGTTTCCCGCGCCTAACTGCTTGACTTAATTGTCTTTTACAAACCTGGGTGTTGACCATGCTATCCAAACGTAATGCGTCTTCACTGCAGGTAAATAAACAACGAGACTTCGTAACTCCTGGACTAATATCGTCCAGTTTTCGCGTTTTTTATACAATGCAACGTCGTGGTCATTTATCAAATTTGTCGCCAAGTAAAAGGTCCCTGGAAAATAAAGTCTTTTGCAAACATCACCCAAATATACGGGAGGCTACGGCCAAGTGTAACGTATATTTTGATTTGAAATATTTTTAAAATATTGACTGAAATGATTTTTTTGCTCGAATGAGGTGTTTGGCATGTAAGGTGAGTCTCACAGCCACGTTTAGTTGCAATGACTTATGACAGGCCGCAATGACAATCATATCCCGTGCACACTTGACTGACGCAAGCTGGGCACCGACGCATCAAGATATGATAAGCACGAATGTAATTACCAAACGAAGCCCTGAAGTTCTCAGACGTAGAGCGGGTAGGGCAGATCTTTTTTGGTATAAATGCATATCCTCAATCAGGCAATTATTCCAATTCAACTATTATTTCGTGTAAGATGTACTCAACCGTCACTGTTCAAGATATTCAATAGAATTCCGGAGCCCGGTGTGTCATTCGTTAGGATCTTGCGCAACTTTTATCGCTCAAGTCCACACATTTTTCTCTGTTATGTGGTGATATTTTTCAGGAATGGATTTGAAATCAATGACGCAGGACCAAATGTTCTACAACTTCTCTCAATGTCAAGTTGACAAGAGAAATCAGCGCAAGTTGTGAGCAACAAATTCGCCTGCAGTATAGAGTTTCGAGCACCTGTCTGAGGATGAATATTAAAAAGCCGCCTGCGTTCTTGTGAAGATACGTTAAAGTCGAGAATGGGCGTTGCTGAGCTGACATCTATTTCGAAATCGACATTAGGGACAGTGCTGAGGAAATTCCAGTCGGATCAGGGGATTTGCCGTGAAGACTGTGTAGTATCAGTGAAAACATCTGAAAGATCAACTGATGGGACGCGTAATATAGTGGGTGGTTGTGCTTGGTAGGTGATTGTTCTTGAGCACCACCTGTGTTGGCACAGGACAGTTAGAGATTTCTGGTCTAATCTTTTGCCTCAAACCACCCAGGTAGTTTTATGATTTATGGCGACGCTTTGTTCGTCACCAAATGTGGTCTGGTTTGCTCCACGAAATTTGCGTGTTATAATAAAATAAGATAGATCATTCTGTCTGTGAGATTCCTTGGACTATACTATCGAGTTTCACCGTTAAAAAGGAGAATGTCCGAATTATCCTGGTAGCCAACCAGTCGAAAACAGATGGGAATTATTAGCTCCGGTGACAGCTTTTCGGAGATAGGTATTCGCAAATGTAAATTTTGCTGCCTGGATGACCAACCTCGAAGCAGCTGAACAAGAAGTAACATAAAGCGGACATAAGGCCTAACAAGAAAGCAAAACCATCCCTATCTTGTAAGGACTACCAATTGCTCAATCAACTGAAACCCCAAAGCGCTAAGACAGTTTCACGGGTACATGGTTGTTGTCATGGGCAATATGTGGGCTCACACACCGACGACCCGGGACGCACCGACCCACTGATTGTATGAGGCTGGTTGGTGATCGAGCGATTTTAACTAAATTCCTTAGTAAAATGTGCATGAAAGCAACAGTTTAAGTAATCCTACCTACTGATATTCCGCAAGATAAAAACCCAAATAATCACTCTGGGGTATATTAGTCAAGATAGGTAAGATAATTCCTATATTATCGACTGCAGACATTTGAGTAAAAAATCAACCTTCTTAAACAGGACGTTGACTACAATCCATAACTTAGGGTATCCAGACCTGTCTGGGGGGACGTAAGTATTCAGGCCAGTTTCAGTAGATTCCAATGTTATTTGCAGAGCTTTCCCTTATTTGATGTTTATACTGAAATTTGATTGCAGAAGATTAGAGTATTACAGAGTACCAGAAAATCTCACAATCTAAGTGGTGAGGAAAGACTTTTATTGAGAAGTCTAAGTTTTCATTATACACGAGCAGATGTCGGAGGCCAGTTTTTTGGTGATCACTGGACCACCAACAGTCATAGTAGTTTGACAGGCTTGTTGAACTTACAGGCTGACTGACAGTACTGACGAACAGGAAGCACAGAATCGACTGATCAGTACTCCGTGCCAAATACTGACTGCAGACCAGAATGTTTCTTCCCACTGTTCGATGCCTAGAAAATCGGGTGCATTGACCGATTGGAAGGGTCTCACTCTGGCGTCCCAAAGTTGTTTCGTCAAGTAGTTAGTTAAAAACACACGAAACCCTAGATCATAGGCACAAAGAGGGAGATTAGTTGCGGTTTCTTGAAGGTGTTACTCTCAGAACTATTCTTGAGTAGAGCGAACAGCACTAGACAGTAGGATGACTGTAGGACAAGTGAATTCACATCAACCAACGGAGGTAGATATTATCGAAACTTAACCAGGCTACTGTCAATCTTCCTTCCCAGTCGTTAATCCAAGCAAACATTTTGATATGCCGGCAGACTAAAACACAATTTTAACACTTTTGGAAACAATAGACATCATATAAATTCTTCAGGTGGATGAAGCCCTATAGGTCATGAGATGCTTGGGTGCCACATCAGGCCTCCTAATTTCACATGTGACTACTTTGCACCTGAGCGATTCTGCACAAATGCGAACTAGTAACAAATACAAGATAATTTAACTAATGATAGTTCCCAAAAATGTCAAGTTATTTGTTCACTAATCTTTCTGTGTAGCTTTGGAGGCGATACCACAATGTTTAATACGATTGACTAGTATCCGATGCGAGTGAACATTCCCTAAACATTTGTGCTTGTGAGACACAAGTGTGATGAGGCACAAGTCCATCTAATTAAAAAAAACGGAAAAAATCGCTCAATTTCTCATATATTTCCACTCAGTACATGTAAGGCGATTCTCTAATGTACGTATTCAACAACCATTCACTGTAAATTTGAAATGGTTCCCGTATTGCTAGATCCCGAACCAACTGTACAATATCCGATCCTTCTTTAGTGTTCCGGTTGAGATGTTGGTCTTTTGCACGTAAGGGTACGTAAATTGGAAACAGTCCGATGCACCGGTTGATCTCATCTGCCATGGAGTGCCATGCTTCCAGAAATTCTCTTCCGTGTCTCATGTCTCCAAATGCCAAAATTTTTGCGTTTTCCAGATTGAATTTGTGGCCTTCTCGGTCCTCGTATTTGCATATCAAGGACAGGGCGTCATGTCTCCTGACGGCCGCGTTGTGTTCCTTTATTCGTTGCATAGTCTTCCTCCCGGTTTGTCCGACGAAGAATTTGTTGCAGTTGTTGCAGTTGAGCAGGTATATCGCATTGTTCTTCTTGGTTTTGTCTCAGTTGTCCTTCGGTCTAGAGACTAACTTCCTTAGGGTGGTATTCGGTTTGTGGGCCACGAAGATTCTTTTTGAGCCGATAATCTGGTTGCGAGTTCCGATATATTCTTGATGTAAGGCAGGACTACCCGTCTGGTGGCTTGTTCTTGCTGTTGCTGTTGTTGTGATGTCTTCTTCTTCAAGCTTCTCTTGATAAAATTCCTTGGATATCCATTGTTATAGAACACTCCGAATAGATGGTTTTCTTCCTTCTTCCGCAGTTCTATGGTGCTGCAGTGTGTCTCCGCTCTCTTGAACAAGGTTTGGACACAGCTCTTCTTGTGGTTTACTGGACGATCGCTGTTGTAGTTCAGTATTTGATCCGTATGTCTCCTTCCGTTATACGCAATTTTCTAGAATCCCATCCATCTTTCTGCTCACTAAAACGTCTAAGAATAGTGGTCGATTGTTTCTTTCTAGTTCGATTGTAAACCTGATATCTTCAAAAGTGTTGTTGAGCAGTTAATGTGCCCCGTGTACTGACTTAATAGCTTTGACTAAATAGATTGACGAACTAGATTCCAGAACGGCTTAAAAAGTACCGATTAATACTTCGTGCATATTCCAGCAAGGATGCTATTCTCCTTCAAAGCATTTCTGTTGTTTATGTCTTTGGCAACCTTTGCAATCTTCTACCTTGGTGTACGATAACCCAATTTGTCTAGAGTCGCTTATATCATAGATATAAATTCCGTGAGTCAGGAAAATGAGTGGTCGATGGAACAAGTGACGGATTTTTTATATCCACCCCCATCGAAGGTTTAGGAGAGTGTCTCGTACTGTCTCACGTGCGAATGGCCCAACGAGAGGATCTATTGGAACTAAGAAAAAATTGCCCTGCAAAACCATATACGCGGCTATTTCTGTGTTACAGGCCCCTTCGGTCAAATAACTACAACTGATTCCAGAAGAGTTTGTTGTTTTTCCCTCTTGATCGGTGACATTCATACGCGATTAATGACCGTGCTTCTCCGTATCGTGCAGAAAGATCTGTAGGTAATTCTAATGTTCAACCACTCTGACTGCCAAAGGTTGCTTCAATAGGGTAAATATTTCTCTGTTGGATAGCGAACTACTCTGTAAAATAGAGATTGCCTGTGGAATCCGTTTGGACACAAGATCACGGCATGCGGGTTTCACACTCGCTGCGTTTGAAGGCGCGCTCGGCGTCAATCTGGATCTTTTGGCAACTCCATATCTACGCATGCGAAACGGCAGGGCTTTGAACAGACCCTATATTATGGTTCAGATGTCACCCAAACTAGCGCACGGTTTGGATTGCTGCTACCTTGGCTTTGAACCCTTTCCGTGATCTGCGATGGACCATGGAGGATTATGATCTCCGCTGGAAAAGAATGTTATCAAACCGACTAGCAGCTATATCGAAGCACATGGAGATGAGGTAGGGTTCGATTTGCCAATTGGTTAGTGGTTTGCACTGAGGCATTCACAATGTGTGACATCAACACTGCTAACCCGATGGAACTAAGCATGGTGTGCCATTAAGTTGCAGTCTGATTTTGCGTGACCGAAATCATTTAGACAGTACGATGGGAAAGTGCGCGGTAAGCTGTGTGGAATGATCAATAGGAGAATCTACTGGGCTTAGATTGTTGGGTTACGGGGAAAGCGGCTTATATGCACTTCTGGCGACCAGGGTGGATAAGTTTTTTTTACCAAATAATGTGCTGGTAGGCAACTACGCTCTAAGTAGCCCAGCGCCTCGAGATTTTCAAAATTAGCTGAAAACGTTTTCGCGATTACCCCGAAAGCAGTTTCGCCGCACATATATTTGAGGCACGGACGACATTTATAAACTCGCATCAGTTGTGTAGCCGGAAACGAAAACTCACTGACTAAAGAGCTGTTCATATGAGGCAACTGTAAAGGCGGTATTTCTTTGTGGTGGGAATTCCCACGTTTGATCTTTATTGTCTTCACGGTATTGCATTTGCTAACTAGCTGCAGCGTGCTTTCAATGAAATGTTGCCTAAGCGGTAGCTTGATGTCGAAGCGAGATCACCAGGGAGTTAGTTGAAACTTATCAAATTTGGACATACATTTTGTATGTCAAACCAATTTTTTTTCAACCTTAAACCCTTGTTGGCGAGAGGAAGCTAGACCATGACTTGGTAACGCAAAACGAGAGCACCTACCGCCGGATTGTGTATTGCAGCATCTCCGAGTCTCCCCAGGTAGAGTTTGCGTGATTTTATTCGCACGTGATTAGGAATCCTACAGATCTCAAAGGACAGAATAATGTCAGTTCCTCTTCGGACTGCCTATCTGAAGTTAGGTAATAGGTATTTGTCGAGTATGATTCGCAGAGAAGGTTAGATCAACTTCTCTGATGGCGCCTTAATTCAGCGTGACGTCTAGATGTATTTATCTAGTTGCTGTTCTAATGTCTAGATACCTTGTTCCTGGTTGTTTTCCGTAGAAATCCAAGGTTTTTCGTGATTCGATTGCGCTGTTCCCCTTTCTTCTTGTCGATCATTCATCCCCACGGTCGTGTGGCGGGTAAGAATAGGGTTTCATCACTGCTTTGTCTGTCCGTAATGCTGAGTCATGCAGCTGGCTTTCTAAGCTGTATGCTCTTGATTCGTTTTGGCACACTAAACGTAACAGAAAATATTTGCTGTTTGCTGCTGACGTTGTCTAGTCATCCACTTGAGAATACGGAGTTACAGACGAGCTATGGATCTTAAATAACAATGTATTCCGAATGTGTACGCTGATACAGCAAGTCTTTTATGAACTTGGACACTCAAAGTCTGCTTGATGTACATACTGTTTCGCGCCCAATTTTGGGCTTCTATCTCTTCCAATGGCAAAGCAACAGAGAGTTATGACCCAATTTTTAGCAGACGTAAAAACGAGATATTTTTCAAAGTGCTAACATCCTTGAAAACTTGTCAGATGTCTCAGGGAACCCCTGAGTGGCAAATAAAAAACCAACTCAGTTGTACATATGAAACAGCGCGGTCGCATTATTGAACCGCGGCATCGTTCACTATTTTCAGGTCACACTGCCGTGTAATATATTTACTTCATTCTTTATAAGCATAATAACATTTCGTTTAGCCTCAGTTTTAACAAAACGGCTTCTCTTGTATTACGCAAAGATTTTATATGATAGCAGCTTGTACTAACTACACTGGATTTCTTTTCCTGAGTTGGCGATTCTACCGTCGGCTAATGTAATGTTGGTGAAAGTTTGTGTAACATAAAAGGAAATTAGAACATTTGGCTACATTTTTTTTACATCAAACTCATACCAGGGGGGGCTACCATTGCATGGTTACAAAGGATATAGACATCGTCTAACGTTTTTTGTGCGCCTTATACACTTAGTCTGAGATGACGACAACCCCCAGGAAAACCTCATAGATTAACCAGATAGAAGCAGAATACTCCTACTGACACTCAAAAACACTTCAACCGAAGACGTAAAACTACTTAATTTTTATTACCCTGTTGCAGTCTATGGTAATTTTCAGCCACTTCCAGCATTTAAAAAACCACAACACCGCAGATACCTTGTCATGTGAATCTCTTCGATGACAAGTGCGCACAAAAGTAAGGTAGTATTAGTAAGGCTGAGAAAGTTACTAACACTTTCACAAAAAAGTAATGATATTTGGTCTGGCACTGTGTCACCCTTTAGTTTGGTCGCAATTGAAATGAAGGATGGCTGTCGTGGAGTTATATAGTCGTTGTATGAAGTCTACTATCATACGGTTACAAACAAGCCGCTATCGAGCATCTGGAATGGGAATACTATCAAACGAGTTAAATTCGGTGGGAATTTCACTATAACAGGAGGGTCAATATGCGCTTCACATTTTGCCAAAATTATTCTATTGGGGTCGGTTTTTGCCTGACAACAAACATAGACCTATCAGAGAAGTCATTCGAGGATCCAGGTAACACTAGATCACATGGCATAAAGAACTAGAGGCACCCAATCCTGTCTAAGCAAAAATTGACCACATCGCTAATCGGTCAACCGTATCTGAAAGACAGATTACAGACTGCTCTCTGGATGATTGCGGATTAGGCTTTCCCTGGAGATTCGTGAGATCCATACTAATGACGATGCCAAGTAAGGGAACAACAACTGTTCTTTGGCTTTTCAGCACAGATTGATAATCCAAGTGTAGGTATTTAAGATCTTTCAACCAGAAAATCATTGATTCCTCTTCTAGGGAAAACTACTTTGCTCTGTAATAGTGATCACATACAATGCCATATACGACTTAGGCGCGCATCCAGTCTTCTTTGTGAATGGATGTCATAAATTGCTATAGTTCATAACTCATAAACCGACCCCAAATGTAATGTAACTTCTAGTAATCATTACCACTGTCAACTTTTCTAAAGTTTTATTATGAAAGATAGCTATCTTAAAAACCTGTCACTCAGCAAGACACAAGGTTGCTTTTGCTTCTAATTAAATGAAAATAAATGAGGGAAGCATTATTTTGGTCCAGAATTACTAGAACACTGTCGTTAGCAGTTAACCGATCGGTTTCACTCAAACCGACAAGCCGATGTGATTTTCATTTTTAAGGTTTTATATTAGGAAAAACTGCGTAGACGTTTGCGCCCCAACGTAATCGCAAGTGCTGATGATGGAATTTCTGTGTTCTTGTTCTTTGGTAGAAGGTAGTTTTGCCGTGTGGATGGTTGGTAAAGTTTTTGGTAATGTTGTAAACTGAAGATGGAAAATTTATCTTTATGCCTCGGTTACAAATTTTATGGCCTCAAGGCAGCTGTCAGGCTCATGCCCTGTGCGGACACAAAAAAAACAGCGTAAAGTTCTTTATATCAAATCGGTGCACGCTCACTGAAACCTAAGAGGAATAAAGAAC